GACGAGGAGAGAGAGACACTGACTGGTGCTGGGGGGGAGAGAAGAGGAGAGAGACACCGACTTACGCTAGGTGAGGGGGGAGACACCGACCAACGTTGGGGTCCCTTAAAAATTTCCTCGGCCAAAAAGGGGTCGCGAGTGGAGAAAGTTTAAGAAGACCTGTTCTAGAGGATCCTTGCTGGTGCAGTCAGTTTGCATCTATGGGATCGACATTCAAAATTACAGGACGCTGTGCTGACACACAGCATGCCTGTATCTCCCATGGCCAGATTTGTCGGCACACCCTCTGCCCAGCCATGCTGTTTGTGAGTGCGCGAGGCTCCTAGCTGGAGTCTCACTTTCAAAGCTGCAGCTGCTTCAGCACAAGCAGACAGAGTACATACTTCCCTGCTGTGTTTAACGCAAGCCTGTCCAGCTGCCCGCCCAATTTGTACATAAGTATGCTCACCTGCCCACATACTGTGTGCAAAGCATGCCTAGACAACCGCCTACTGCATGAATAAGCCTGCCCAGCAGCCCCCCAAATGTGTAATGTGCCCCAGTCACTTGCCAGACCCCTTACTAAACATATCTTTACCTAAACATATCACAGACGCACGTTTTACCGTGCGTCTGTGATGTGCGCTTTATGCGCATACGGCAAACAGCGTGTTTTTGCGAGCAGATTGTAGCTCATTGATGTTAATGAGAAAAAGCGCATAAAGCACGCATAAAAACGTGCGAAAACACAGCAAAAGGCTGTTTTATGGGGCCAAAACGAGCTGTAATATGCCAGAAAAAAGCTCCTGCACTTTTTCCAGCGACAAAACGCTCAGATGTGAACAGGGTCATAGAATTGAATGGGATTTTTTTTTGGGGGGGGAGCAGATTTGAGTGTTTTTAGGGCAGAAAACGCGCTACAAAATGCTCAGTGTGAACCAGGACTAAAGGTTCCCTTAATCCTTAAAGGAGAACTATGGGGTCAATGTTTTTCCCCATAGTTCTCCTTGGGGTAACGGGAGGACACAAACTAGCGTCCTCCCGTTACCCTAAGCTCAGTATACCGCGAGCTACAGCTCGCGGTATACTGAGACGCCGCACCTGGAGCGGATCCCGACTTAGATGACGGGATCCGCCCAGCTGCGTGAGTGACAGCTGGCTCTGCCTATCTAGAGGCAGAGCCAGCTGTACCCGCCCCCTCCCCCGTCCGTTCCGCCAGTCAGCGCTGGCAGATCGGAGAGGGGAATCCAGCCCCTCCCCCTGTCACAGCAGAGAGCCGTGACAGGATCGAGAGGTGAGGGAACCCGGTATGTGTTCTCTCACCTCCCGATCTACTGAGCCGACCTGTGACAGTCTCATTGTCACAGGTCGGCTTAGAACTATGAGGTGAGTGGAAATCACTCATGTCATAGTTCTCCTTTAAAGCGTAAGTTACTCCTATAATAGATAATTTATTAACGTATTCCTTTTAAAAAAAAGTCTATGTAGACAGGGAATGCATTTCGTCAGGCAATGGAGACAAGCCCCCTTGCTCAGCCCTGCTGTTTATAGCTGCTTCTCTGGAGCGGAAGAGCTTCTTCCTGACGTGACGCTGACGGGAGCTGCCAATCGTTATAACAATTCTCCATCCCCTGCCTTCAATAGCCTTGGAAGGTAAAATTAATAGTGGTCATGTGACCGCTTTATAAAAGTCAAAATGTAAGCTATTTCTAGACAAGATTGTATTGAATAAAAAGTTTAGGTTATACTATCATTACTGAATGATTGGTGATCTTTACCATTCACATACAAGAAAACCCTAACCTTGGCGCTTATCCTTATCCTTAACCCAACACTAACCTAGTCCACAGCACCAAATAAACCCCCTGCAGCAGTATGGTTACCCTGCTTAATGCCTATAGCAATCGCCCCAAAAGATATCATCTCTGCGCCAAAAAGTAAAAGCCCCTCCTCCAACAATTATTTGAGTACAAGAAATGGAAGTGCACAAAGAAAGTATAACAAGCAGAATTCTATTTTGTATACCTTTAAAGCTTCTTCATATTCATCTGCAACAAATAAAAAAAGAAAAATAAAAGTTTGAAAAATGATTTGGTTTTGAAGCAAACATAATCATTAGATACATACAGTATATTGCCAAAAGTATTGGGACACCCCTCCAAATCATTGGATTCAGGTGTTTTGTGAGATTTCCTTGCTACTAAATATTCCACGGTCAACTGTTAGTGGTATTAAAAAAAGGAAGCAACTGGGTAGGCCACGTAAAATGACAGAGCGGGGTCAGCGCATAGTGCACAGGAGTTGCCAACTGTCTGCAGAGTCAATAGCTACAGACCTCCAAACTTCGTGTGGCCTTCAGATTGGCACAACAACAGTACATAGAGAGCTTCATTGAATGGGTTTCCATGGCCCAGCAGCGGCATCCAAGCCTTACATCACCAAGTGCAATGTAAAGTGTCGGATGCAGGGGTGTAAAGCACACCGCCACTGGACTCTAGAGAAGTGGAGACGTGTTCTCTGGAGTGACCAATCACGCTTCTCTGTCTGGCAATCCAATGGACATGTCTGGGTTTGGCGGTTGCCAGGAGAACGGTACTTGCCTGACTGCATTGTGCAAGTGTAAAGTTTGGTGGAGGTGGGATTATGGTGTGGGGTTGTTTTTTAGGGGTTGGGCTTGGCCCCTTAGTTCCAGTGAAGGGAACTCTTAATGCATCAGCATACCAAGACATTTTGGACAATTTCATGATCCCAACTTTGTGGAAACAGTTTGGGGATGGCCCCTTCCTGTTCCAACATGACTGCGCACCAGTGCACAAAGCAAGAGGAGTTTGGGGTGGGGGAACTTGACTGACCTGCACAGAGTCCTGACCTCAACCGATAGAACACCTTTGGGATGAATTAGAGCGGAGACTGCGAGCCAGGCCTTCTCGTCCATCATCAGTACCTGACCTCACAAATGCGCTTCTGGAAGAATGGTCAAACATTCCCATAGACATACTCCTAAACCTTGTGGACAGCTTTCCCAGAAGAGTTGAAGCTGTGATATATATCAGCAAAGGGCGGAGCCAACTCAATACTGAACCCTACGGACTAAGACTGGGATGCCATTAAAGGCAGGCGTCCCAATACTTTTGGCAATATAGTTTATTTACCGGTTTAGTTTCATAGCTGTTAAGTGTTTTTTCCTTTAATCAAGTTCAATTTAAAATGGACATGTGGGTACAGCTGCCATTGTTGACTTAAGATAGTCATACACTGTTATATGTAACTGTTACTACAGAATCCTCCATCCATGGTAAACAGAGTGAATGGACAATTCTCCCATTGTGCCATTGTATTATGACATCAGCGGGTGTGCCGCTGTCAGAATACCTGCACAGCGATGGCAGCTGGTTGGCTGTTGTCACTGTTTGCATTTTCTACCGTGCTCATTGGATTCTCTGATTGAAGCGTCCTAGATGGAAAGGTGCCAAAATTCTCACAGTGTACAGCCAGCTTTATTTTTCAAAGGTGTTGGGCTTCCTTTGCTTCACTACCTAGAAAGTCACTGAACCTAGAACATGCATGTAGCCAATGAAGTCTGTAAAGTCTGAACCGGTGTCCTGCATTCTTGTTTCAAGTTAGTGACTCACTAGTAAATGCTCCAGGATGACATCCCTACAACCTGTAGCTTTGAAAGCCATTTCAATAATAGTAGCACTCCAACGTAATCCTCACATGTTTCCAAAGCCGTTTTCTCATACGTTTTAAATATGCACATTGGGTGTTTACTCTGAATGAAAATTGTGTTTAATTCATGTTATTCAACTTCCAGAACCTGGAAGTGACAAAATCATCATCACTTCCGTGTTCATTCAGCAGGGAGGTTATCAGCAAACAGGTGTTCGATTGCCATGCGGGACGCTCCCGCAGGAGTGGCAGCAGAACCCAAGTAAGGGGAGGGGGCGAGAGGTTTTGAGACGTGTACATGTGTGGGAGTGTAGACGTGATTGGGCTGCTACATGACAGCCGACATGAGAACACACTCCTAGCTGCTCCCAGCTGCCAGTTAGAACGCAGTCCCTGGTGTGCACTGTGAAGGCTGTGGTGCTAATGCGATGGAAACAGTGCATCACCCTGTAGCTTTTCTTTTTAGAACCTTATTGAAATGTCATAAAACGGCATTCCATTCAGTTCTATTAGCCTCATTGTGGTGTGATGCCGTGGATTGCTTTGCACCACAATGCGCTGAAAAAACCCCCGAATACATGAACTATGCCGATTGAAAACAAGGTAAATTGCCATGCCCAGCTCAGCACAGTGCACCTGGTATGAAAGGGTCCTTAGTCCTAAATTTGTCCACATTAAGAATCTGATCACCAGGGTATCAAAGCACAACCCTTTGCTACACTTGCTTACACTCCAACCGCCTCCAAACGTGATAGGTTCCTGAAGGTCCTGAATATGAGTTACCCACAGAGAGCTATACAAAACCACACTGCAGACTCCATGTCAAAGTACCCAGAGATTGGCACTACAGATACTACAAAGCCCATCATACTGTATGTTCTTAATAGGAAGGAGAAGACTTGAATGGACAAGCAGATTGTAAAAACGAAAAAAAGAAGACAAAAAAAACACAGAACAAGAATCTCAGATGAAGCCTTTAATTTCCGCTAACACTCACCTTGACTGTTCACAGATACCTGAAGAGAAAAAAAAATATGATACAGCTGTGTTAAAAAAATAAGACTTTTTCTATGTACAATCAATGTGTTCTAAAAAACAAAACAAAAAATGTTTTCTCTGATTTCACAAGTGTCACAATCTTCTTTTTATCCATCCCAGTATCTTGTAGTACAATATTTTACAGTTAACCCCAACGGAACTACTTTTCTACTTTATTTGCACTTCTAAGGGTTCATCCCTGCATCTGAGAGGACATGAGTGGCAAAGTTTATGTACATACTGTATATATTTACATCAGGGGTGAACAAGTCAATATGGAATTCAGGAGCCAGTCTGTCCATTCCAGGAGCTAGCAGGATTTTTTTTTTTTTTAGGAGTCAGCTCCATTGACAACAACTAGAGAAAACCTACAAAATGCGGCGCTGGTTGTAATTTTTAAAGTGACTTTATTGCCTTTATTGTGACTTTATTTTAACTTAATTGCCGGGCTGGAGGGGGCGTGGCGGGCCATTGAAGTTAATCCCGCCCGCACGGGATCACAAGGCGCGTTGTGCCTGCAGTGCGATAAAAATAGTGATTGCGGCATTTTGATCGCACCGCACTGCAGGCACAACGCGCCTTGTGATCCCGTGCGGGCGGGATTAACTTCAATGGCCCGCCACGCCCCCTCCAGCCCGGCAAAAAAGTGAGCCGGCCGCAAAGCGATGCAGTGCGTTCCGGCCAGAATCGGACCGGAACACACTGCCTATGGTGTGAACTAACCCTAAGATTTAACTCGCAAATTTAGTGTCACTTTAAGGAACACTGGCGACCTGGCTACTGGGATTTGTCCAGCTCTGATTAACTGTACAATTAGGGTAGTAATTACTGATGGGCTCAGGCGTGTTTGCAGTTCCACGTGCCGAGCCTTCCAGGAAGCTGACAGCGCCAATCACAGGTACTGAGACATTTTCCCGGTCCACAGCTGCAGAGATCGGGAAATGTCTCAGTGCCTGTGATTGGCGCTGCCAGCTTCCTGGCGGGCTCGGCATGTGGAGCTGCGAACACGCCCGAGCCCATCACTGGTAGTGATACCAGCACTCCATCCAAAAAGTACTGCCTTGGGGCTCCACATGTAATAATATGACAAAGGTTTGGAGTCTCCCACAGGAGAAAATAAGTGGTGTAATAAACCTATGTCAGAGCAATGCACATTCACACATACATCCTGGTGTGAACAGCTTACTAGCATATCATTCTCTTAAATGATTTACAGATTATCTGTATCATTATAAAACAGTAACTAAATAATATATTTGACTTTACACATGGTATTACTGTAATATGGCTGGAAGCACATTAATATACTAGATTTAAAAAATGTGGGCACACAAGAGGCGAATACTTCTAGTGCTGACAAGAGAGTGACCAGCACTGAAATAAAATACTGTAAGCCATCTTCTTACCTGTTCATTTTCTTCATCTATGTATTTTATCTGTATGTCTCCTAAATCAAAGGACACAAGCACCTATCAAGGCAAAACAAAAAGAAATAACAGGTGTCAATCTTATTTTATGTTGAAAATACAACAGCATTTACTTATGTACTAATGTCATATGTCTTTTGAGATGTAGTGCAATGCTAGTCTCTATGTGTATGCTTGTATATGACACACAGGAAGTAAAAAAAATTATTCTAAGCAAGTAAAACTTAGTTTAGCAATCCTCAAGACCTCAGGTGATTCATCTAAACACATAACCAACAATTTTATGGGTTTTTTTAAATGTTAGTTTCATATTACTAACAGCTATGATAAAATGAAGCGATGAACATAAGGCTTTGTCACGCACGCTCCATTTTTTTCTGCAGGGTAAGGGCTTGTTCACACCAAGCGCGGAGCAGATCCAGAGCAGAGCAGGTGCAGACCGGATCAAAACTGCGTCCAATGTATTCCTATGGTATTTTGAGCTCCAGTTCACATCGCAGCGTGCAGATCCAGAGCAGGTGAAAAAACTGCGGCAAGCCCTATTTGACCTGTTCTGGAACGCATCAAAAACGCATGCAAGTGCCTGAAAGCCCATGTTAGGCCTGGTTCACACCTGGGCGTTTTGTAGCGCATTCGAACGCTCTGCAAAACGCTCAAACACTGAAATCCCATTATTTCCTATGGGTATGGCTTACATCTGGGCGTATTACAGGCCGTATGAAGGCGCTACAAAACGCCCTACGCCCAAAGAAGTACAGGAGCTTCTTTGGGGCGTTTTTGTTGCGCGTTTCTATTGGGATACAGCAAAGTAGCCCTCGGAAACGCATGTTTGTTGCGCGTTTTTTTTTAACCGCGAATCTCGGTTAAAACGCGCGACAAACACGCATATTCGATACGCCTAGGTGTAAACCCAGCCTTAAACTTAAAAAAAAACAAAACATTTTAACCAAAAACGCCCCAGAACGCATCAAAAACGCGGCACAACCCACTGCACTGCGTGTGCAGAAACCTGACCGGATCTGCTCTGCATTTGGTGTGAACAAGGCCTAAAAGGTGGCCAAATACTAGTAGATTTTCAGTTGAAAATTTCTGTTTCTGCCGCGAACCCTCGTTCGACTTTCCTATCAAGCAAAGTCAAATATCGATTTCGGAAATCATTCGTTATGCACATTAACCAGCCAAATTTTCGACAAACTACAGAAATAATTCCATTTTGCGCATGTGCTGCGTCCTTCCCGAGATTTTTGAGAAACGAAAACCCCACTGATTCATCAATTTTCGCTCGGGCCGAGAAAATGTTGCCAATGTGACCGATCGAAAAATTTCCATCATAATATAAAAAACTAAAATTGGTGATGTACCATCAACTGTCCGATTTTCGTTTGAAAGACCATTCATGTTCGATTTCCAAATGAAAATGACAGTGTATGGGCACCTTTAATAGGGCCACTTGAAATCCAACACCAAAAAAAAAAAAAGTCAGCAGGAGAACATGTTTACTGGAAGAGCCACCAGTAACAGCCTATTACTGAAGGACATTTTTAAAAAAGGAAACTTGTCACAAGAGACACAACACTGGGGCAGACAACATCCAACAGTCGCCCATGGCAACCAATAAGCTTCTCTCTTCAGTTTGTTTAGTTTAGCTTTGAAAATGAAAGATGGAAGCTGTTTGGTTGCCATGGGTGACTGCTCCAGATTCGGTCAGCTCCAGTTTTGATACATTCCCCCCAAAGGCTGCCACTGCTGAGCTCTCCATTTGAAAATGCGTGTTCCCTGGCTGTTATTCTGAATCACTGACCTGGCACAAGTATGCAGATAACATATTGAAGCCTGTGGGGTCAGCACAACAGTCAGGTAGCTAGCATTTTCAGGAGGAGAAGTAAAAGTTAACTGTAAAAGTGGCCTAGCATAAAAAAATGTCTACTCCAGTAATGAAGGGGCAGGGCAGAGCATCTTGTGAGGCCTGCAAGAGTAAGATGGCCATCCCGAGTGCTGAATGAAAAAATAGAACAGATTCCTCCATCCACGCTAAACAGCGGCGGGTATTCTGCTGTCAGAATACTCGAAAAGTGATGGCAGCCGTTTGGCTGCCGTCACTGTTCCTCCAAAATGTTTCCATCCAGCTCCTTTGATTTTCTGAATAAAGAATGTTGGACAGAAGGGTGCAGACAGGGGCATCCAGTGTGAGAATATCGCCCGGTTCATCAAGAACCATCTGACATTTGCACGGGGTAGGGCCGGGTTTATTCTTCAGGCTAATTTCAGTGTAGTCCGTTGAATCGTAAGCCCAGACTCCTTTCTGTACAGGAGACAGGAAACAATGGTCACTGGGAACAATACCAGAACCAATATTACAGCAGATATTCTGGACAATAGAACTGGAATCGTTTCCTGTATATCCTGAATAAACATTAAACTTTTACCAGTCGCTGGTCAAAATAGCCTACATTAACTTGCAACTACAAAAGCCATACAAGCTTGAAATCCATTGATTTCCTCATCCATGCAAAACAACGTGGATGGAGGAATCAAGCATTTGGGGAGGGTGTGCAGACAGGGCCATTCACAGCTCGAAATTCAAGCACACCTCCTTACGGCATTTTTCTCTGTGAACCTTTACTCTCGTTTATTTAACCATTAGGTAGACAGCATGAGCTGATCACGTGGGGGTTATAGAAGGCAAAGCAGAAGCTGGTCATGGACTAGGATTTAAAAAAAGAAGAGCCAGAATGGCAGCTGAACATAGACTGGAAGGGGGTCGGGCTGCGCATATTAATATTGAATATTTCATATTTACCTGACGAAATAAAAAATAGTTTTTATTTTTTCTTTAGTCCTGATTATAATAAAAAAAGATAAACTGTACAAAATCACAGCAAAAAAAACACAGGGGTCGAATGACGATTTGCCAGGGGTCGCCTAAAGACATCCCAACTCTCCCAGACGCTCCGGGAGTCTCCCACTATTAGATAGCGGCTCCCAGCAGCCCGGGAGATAAACACTTTCTCCCGGAAAGGTTTACTCTGCTCGATCGAGTAAACCTTTGCCTGCTCTGTTTTTTTTCCCTTCTGACATCTGAGCCGCAAAGTTCTCAGGTCCTCTACTAGTGATTGGCAGCAGCAGAGGGTGGGTGCAATAGCTAGTTTGCTATTGGCTATTGCAAAGTGAAATAGCCAATAGGAATCTAGCTATGCATTCCTATGCTGTTTTTTTTTTTTCTGATGGCGGCCGGCAGCTCCGATGTCAGAAAAAAAACAAAAGAGTAAACCTTTCTGGGAGAAAGTGTTTCTTGGCAGGGATCCGCTATCTAACGGTAGCAAAATACAGCGATGAAGGAGCAACGAAAATAATTTTACTGTTAGGGGGTCGCCACAACTTGGGCAATATTATCAAGGGGTCGCGGCACTAGAAAGGTTGAGAACTTCTGCTCTAGAACATAAGTGAATATTCAGTGGCTCAGCATGAGACCCAGTAAAATACAAGAATATTCATCCTTTATCCACTCAAAACTGTAGTGTCATGATAGTTTGATGGTAGCTCCCATCTGCACACCATAGTACATTTATCTCCTTCACACCTCTATACAAGATCAGAATAAACAAGCGGAGACAGCGATTTCATTTAAAATTGTAAAACAATTGTCAAATATTTTAGCCCTGTGACATAGTCACAAGGCAAAGGAGAGAGACAATCCATATACAGGAGAGATAACAAGGTTAGGAGTTTACAAGTTGTCATATGATTTCTCTGCTCAAGGCGTTAACAGCCGGGTACAAGGTACAGCATGACATGAAACTATCTTGCAATAACAAAAGCAAACATGAACAAAACAAGTTCCTGTTACCAATACATGGATGAGGAGTTTGCATTGTATTTGCAGGACAATAAAGTCACAAGGCAAATGCAGCCCTGCAACCGAAATCAGACCTGCGTGTACCATAGATGCATTCAGAGGTTGTTTTTCAATGTTAGTTGGACAGTGAACTGAATAATCAGGTCTGATAAGTCTTTGTCCAAGATTCTTATATCTACAACTACTCATAATGCTTCTTGTTCATCTTACCTTGTGCTATGTAATAGTTTAACACTCTCTATATTATATATATATATATATATATATATATACACACACACACACACACACACACACACAATATTGCCAAAAGCATGGATTCAGGTGTTCCGTGAAATTAGAGCGGAGACTGCGAGCCAGGCCTTCTCGTTCAACATCAGTACCTGACCTCACAAATGCGCTTATGCCCTTATCAACCAATCCATAGAAAGGAAAATAATCGCTTTCAAACAACTGTCGGTCTGTCCAGGACTGTCTGGCCTAGCAAATTCAGCTCAAGAGCTGAACGTTTGTTGGTAAAAGAAGACTTTTGCCGTTGCGGTCAAAGTGCAGGCATTTACAATCAGAAAGAGATTGCTCCAATCCAACCTGCATGAAAGGTGTGTCAAGCAAATGCATTTGCTGTCCAAAAGGTACATTACAGTAAGGCCTTGTTCACACCAAATGCAGAGCAGATCCGGTCAGGTTTCTGCACACGCAGTGGAGTGGGTTGTGCCGCGTTTTTGATGCGTTCCGGGTCGGTTTTGGTAAAAAGAAACGTTTAACATGGGCTTTCAGGCACTTGCATGCGTTTTTGATGCGTTCCAGAGCAGGTTAAATAGGGCTTGCCGCAGTTTTTTCACCTGCTCTGGATCTGGTCTGGATCTGCACACTGCGATGTGAACTGGAGGTCAAAATACCATAGGAATACATTGGACGCAGTTTTGATCCGGTCTGCACCTGCTCTGGTCTGGATCTGCTCCGCGCTTGGTGTGAACAAGGCCTTAGATTACAGCATTGAACATATAGGCGAAGGCCATGCCTTCTGGAACAATGTACTGAAGACTGATCAATAAAAGATTGAGTTGTTTGGTCACAGTAGCAATAGATATGTTTTCCGCAAACTGAAGAAGACAATTCAGAAGAATCCCATACTAACTGTGAAGCATTGTGATGAAAATGCTAGGGTTTGGGGTTGCTTTGCTGCTTCAAGGCCTGGGCAGCTTGCAGTCATCGACTGCAACAGTTAACTATACATTTTGCATCATATCAAAGTGTGCTTGATGAAAATGTGAAGCCATCTCTCTAAACGTTGACATTAAACCCGAAAATACATACTTGATAATGATCTGATGCACACTAGCAAATCCACCAAGAAATGACTCAAAAAAGAAGAAGTAGAGAGTGAGTTACTGCCCTTGTCAAAACCCTGATTTGATTCCCATTAAGATTTTTTAGGGGAATTTGAAAATGGGCAGTTCATGCAAGGAAACCCACAACAAATAAAGCAACTGCATGGGGAAGTGGTCAAAAATGTGACAGTCGATGTCAAAGACCGGCGAGCAGTTATACAAACACAAAAAGCCAACTGTGCTACAGAGGGCAATACCAGCTTTTAATGCCATGGGCGTACTTACTTTTCCCACAGTACACTATTGATATTCTTGTTGGCTAAATAACTGTAACAGGCACATTTTTCTTGTGTTTTTATTCAAGCATATTACTTTTATTTGTAAGCACTGTTTGGATAAAGATGCCCGATGTAAATTATGTAAAAAGTCAACATTTCCAGTATTTTCTCCTTTAATACCCGAGAGACAATCACATTCAATGTGACGGAGGAGGGATTTATTTGATCATTTCAGTCACTGGGATAACACTGGGTATTTGATTTGCAATGACCTTCAGAAAAGAATGATGCCGTGAACACAGACATAAGAGATATGCAGAAAAAAAAAGTTCTGTGAGATGGGTAAGATGGGTGGGATGGGTAAAGCTCACCATTGCCTCCACATCAGCCCAGGTTGTCTTTTCACAATCTGACACCAGGAAGCTCTGCGTCTCTCCCTTGCAGCTCACACATAAGTTGACTGGAGGTTCCATGTTTCTAGGTCTATAAAAAAAGTAAGAAAAGGTAAGCGATTATCTCATAAAGTGAACAAAAGAGTCTGTAAAAAGTGGACACGCCACTTCAATGTCTTTAACTATATACCTGAGATCAGTACAATAACCACTGGCTTTGCTGCACAGAATACGTGTCCCTGTTTTTGTATAGACAAAATGTGTCCACTGATCCAAGTCACAAAATTGTTATTACATCATTCCCTACTGCTGATTATTCCAAATGACAGTAAATGCTTTGCTACTCAGATAATTTCTTAATTACGCTACTGCAAAACCCACTCCCCCTTTCCGTCATGTTAATAAGCATGTTACCACAACATGCACATCACATGCGTTAGCACACTGCGGTGCAATTTATTTTGAATGGCGCCCCATCTCATTAAGGCAACACAGTTCCAACACCAATGTTACAGCACACCACAATGCTCAGTAACATAGTACTGCGTGTTGTGGTGCGCTGCATTGCCAAACATGGTGCATGTCCATTTTTTGGGGACGTTTTGGTGCATTCCCAGACCATTCATTTGAATAGTCTGTCTTAATGCAACGCACATTAATCACTGCAGGACTTCAAATGATTATACCAAGATGCTGATGCAGCCATGATCTTAGTGTCATTTATTTCAGCAGTCAGGGGGCTTTTAAGTACAAATGATCTGTGTGGCTGTCGAGCTGCCTGATCACTTTTACCCACTTCTGAAGGTACCGCCCCCCTGCACACTCCACCCCTGCCGTTTTTCGGGCTCCCCCACTTCTCTAGGTGGTCTGGGACCACTGAAAACATTGTTAGGATGGAGAGTGGGAGCAGACCAAGAAATGTCTTATCTCCAATCTGCTCTGTGATCAATGAAGCAGGAAGCGCTGTGCTCTCAGCACTTCCTGCTTCAGAAGCCAGCTTAAGTGGCGGGTAGACAGGCAAACAAGCATATTCCTCTGCTTGATCATTTGTATTGGAGGGCAAGGAAGATATTAGGGGTCAAATAGACCCCTGGTGTCTCCATAAAGAGAACCTGTCACCTTCAAACCCGATCACATAAGGGCTTGTTAGCCTTTTGATAAGAATGAAGTTAAAAAAAAAATTAAGTCATAACATAAAAAAACCAAATTTAAAATCAACCCTCAAAAATTGGGTATTATGTTATGTGCGCAAATATCGTGCAACATAAAATTCAGTTATCCTTTTTTTAATCAACAGGGCATCTGCTTTCAGAAAATATATAACTGGTTGGGGGTGTAATCTTCTGTCCAAAAAAATCAGATTTGAATATGCGTGAAAAATGAAAAAATTGCTCCAGTACTAAGGTGATTAATGTGCACAAAAAAAAAGCACTTTAACGCAACACACCAGGACACCAAGGTCTTATGGGCCTTAAATAAGGGATGCAAGGCTCTGCAGAAGCTTATATCACTTGATAATAAATAATCTGCGCCAATGGAACCAAATAAATTGCATCAAAAGGGTTTAAAGCAGCTACACTAGGCCCTGGTTCACACCTAGGCGTATTGCATATGCGCGGTTGTCGAGCGTTTTTTTACCGCGATTCGCGGTAAAAAAATCTCGCGACAAACACGCGTATAGTATTTAAAATGTATTAATCCAGAAAAAAAACAATAAAAACTCACATTTAAAACCATGTCAGCCGGCCGGCTATCGCATATAACTCCCATCTCCTCAAAACGAAAGATTGAATTCAAATCGGTACACGGTGTCCGCTGGGCTCTGCCGCCTCCTACGGGCGGCTCTCCATGCGTCAGTGCGGGAAGGAGGTTCTCCGGTGCCGTCCATAGACGGTAGAGCCCAGCGGACACCGGGCACCGATTTGAATGAAATCTTTCGTTTTGAGGAGATGGAGTTATATGCGATAGCCGGCCGGCCAACATGGTTTTAAATGTGAGTTTTTATTGTTTTTTCTGGAACAAGTTTATCCATAAACCTTCTAACATGTACGCATTCCATACATGCAATGGCAAGGTTAGGAAAAAGAACACAATCAGGTTCTAGACGTCTGTGAATGTGAGAATGATGCCCATGTGTACATCTACATCAGGTATGTCAAACTGGTGGTTTTTGGGTCGTATGTGGACCTCTAACTCCTTTACGGCCCCCAGACAGATTAGGGCTCTATATTAAATGTGGTTCTGGCTGTACTCTGGGAAATAAAGGCTTCATTAATACAACTGTCACGCTAAATAATTCAGGAAAAGTTTAATTGCTCCTTTCTCTGGGATAACGTGTTATTCGCAATTGTTAATTACCAAAGTGCCATATTTCTTTTTCTGGAATTAAGCGGGTGTAGGACCCTGCAGACCAAAATGTGGACCATTGAAAACTTATTTCACTGAATTCAGGCCGCTGTTTAATTTGATTTGACATGCCTGCAGTAAATGTTCTACTTTGCAGAGCCGTGATCCAGCCGGGAAATATTGTCGGGATCCACCCGCTGCCTGATTGACAGCTGGCTCTGCCTCTCTAGGGCTAGAGCCAGCTATGCCCACCCTCTTCCCTGATTGTCCCTTCAATGAACACTGGAGGAACAGTAAGGGGAGAGGGGAATCCCTGCAGGGAGCGGTGACTGACAGTCACTGCTCTCTGCAGGGAGAAAACCGTGAGCTAAGCAATCAGCAGTTTGTGATCGCTCAGCTTCTGATCTATAGAGCCGGTTCTAAGTATTGGGAAGAGTACATTTTACTCTCCCAATAGTTCTCCTTTAAGGGATGCAAGAACACAGGGACATGTGTGATAAAAGGTGGGCGTAGAGCAGGGTTGGCATATCTGTATTGCAAAGCTTCATGGGACTTGTAGTTCCCCAACAGCTGAAGTGGTGAGGTTGCCAATACCTGGCGCAGAGGATGAATGGAAAATAGACCCAGCAGAGTTTTTAATAAAAGCTTATAGACGTAGGGGGTTGAAAGATGTACAGAACAGTGGTCCGAAGATCAGGAGGACAGTGGGCTTATGTTTGTGAACATAAAGAAAGGAGATCAAAAGGAGAAAAGCAATAAATATGAGATGAAAAGCAGAAGCGAGAGCCTTTGTTATGGGTAGTACGTTATAGAGCAGGGGCGAGATTGTTAATGAGCAGAGAAGACAACGAGGAAGAGGGTGCAGTGTGCAAGGCCTAGATTGTTAACTGGAGTGAGGGGGGAATGCAGTGTGGCAGCGGAGGACACACAGGAGGGGTCAATAGGAGCCGATCACAAACAAGAAGGGTAAGAAAAAAGACAAATTGTAGGCACATTAAAAATGAACAATGACGAGAGTGGAGATGATAGTGCAGCATGTGAAAATCATAGGCGGAAGGGAGAGAAGACAGTAGGTGGAGATTAGACCACAGAGGGGAATAAGAAGTCAACGGATGTAGATTGTGGCTGGGGGGTAGAAAAGAAGACACAGGGGATAGAATTAGGCTGTACTGCATGGCAGCATACACAAGTGTGTAGTACGATTGTCTATATGACCTAAACTACAAGTCCCAACAGACACATGATGGCTTGTAGTTGTGCAGCAGGCAAGCTGGCCTTTGCTACACTATTTTAAGTAGCTACAATCTGTTAAAGCGAATCCTGAGTCAAAACGTTACTTTAGAGCCAATGACCCAGCCCCGAGGCTGCCAATAAAACAATGGCCCTTTATATGGGTTTCCAGCAGCCACTGCTTCACGTCCACCTCCCACTTTAAAGAGAAACTCCGGGCAAACTTTTTCTTATCCCTTGCAGTGGGGCAACCCACTGCAAGGGATACGTGCTCGTTTTTGTCTAGGTGCAAAAACAAAAAGCTATACTCACCCGATTCTCTGAGCTGGTATTCTGTTGAAATAGCCAACTCGTTGAGATCTGCAACTTCATCACTTCCGGTTACTTGCCAGCAGAAGATTTCGATGAGTTTGCAGTAGTGCGCATGTGTACGCACCCGGCTGCATAACAATAAGCCCATGAGAATACTCGGCGAGATGTCCAACTGCTGCCAGTGCATTTGTATAAAACTAATACAGTGAAAGCCACTGCGTTATTTTTATATCAGCGCATGCGCACTGACAGCAGTTGGACAACTTAACGAGTATTCTTATGGGCTTTTTGCAATGCAGCCGGGTGTGCACACACACGCACTACCGCCAACTCATTGAAATCTTCTGCTGGCAAGTAACCAGAAGTGATGAGCTTGCAGATCTCGACAAGTTGGCTATTTCAACAGAATACCGGCTCAGAGAATCGGGTGAGTATAAGTTTTTGTTTTTTTTGCACCGAGACAAAAACAAGCACTTAACCATTGCAGTGCGGACCAGCTCCACTGCAATGGTTAAGAAAAAGTTTCTCTTAAAAGTGGGAGGTGGACGTGAAGCAGTGGCTGCTGGTAATACATATAAAGGGCCATTGTTTTATTGGCAGCCTCGGGGGTGGGTTAGACCGGTCCCAGGAGCCTCTCTCCCCCTCTGCTACAGTGGTCTAAGAATCCTTGAGTCATCATGTCACACTGTATTATGGAAGATTGGATACCGAGGAACATGCCATCACTGAAGCAGAGAAGGAGGCAGGCTTCAGGGAGCGCTGTAACAACCGGCCAGCTCTGTGGTGCGGGTGAATTATAATTTTATTTTAACACCTAGACAAAAATGAGCACTTAACCCTTGCAGTGTCGGGGTAGCCCCACTGCAAGGGTTAAGAATACATTTTCCCGGGAATTCTTCTAAGGACCAGACTCTTGTGATGAAGAGATTCTGATTGTTTGCTCATCAGCGTAGCTGACTCACGCAGATCCAGTCCTTCATTAACAGTGGGAAGAGAAAGAGAAGCAACTACCAGAAGCAGCAGCTAGCCTAGAGGCACTTGATCAGTCTGCTGCAACCTAGCAGAGGTTGCTCAGTCTCCTCCATCATAGCAGCAATAATCTATTCTCCTACAGATAAAACAGCAGTATTTGTTTAGTCTCTTGTAACATAGAAGCAATCACAGTGTGTTCTGTAGGGTACAGTGCCTGCTGTAACTCAATCTTTTATAGATGACGACAGTCCCTTGCAGTTTCCTATAACATGGCAATAACTACTCGGTCATTTGTAACATGGCAGCGGTCACATTTTGTAGTATTACAGTAGTAATTCAGTCTCCTGTAATATGGAAGCAGTCCTAACCTCACAGAGCAGCAGTCCTCTTCCTCAGTGTATATAGTATCTCATTCTTCACAATCTCCTCTATAGGAAAAAAGGTGCGTCTATAAACAATTTCCCTTAAGGCAATGCTTACACCTATTTTGGGATACCGTGGCATGAATTATTTGCATGGTTCCACACACTATCATTAAACTTGCAGGGCAAAGCAGAAGTTTCTTTTTAACCAGCCACTGCCTGATGGCACATACCCACCTGTCCTTTGCTCCATCGCTGCCAAAAGACGTGTCTACGTGTGGGCTGTAGTTGCTCAAGTTTTAGCAGATACAGGGTTATGGACTCTATCCATTTGATGGTGTTGGTGTTTGGTAATTGGCCTGGCACCCATACCTAGAAGTACCAGGTATTTGGTTTCCATTCATTTCTATGGCCATGTTCACATCTGAGTGTTTTGTTGCTTGTGGTTAAACGCCCATCTTTGAAAAAAAGTACACGAGCTTCGTCTTGGCAGATTACGCACTTCTTGGCCCCATAGACTTAAATGGAAACGCTTGAAAGATGCATTTTTGCCCTTTACATCAACGTGTCACAAGCAGCTCGCAAAAACGTGTGACAATGTATGACGCACGCAAAAAACGTGCTAGAAATAAGCAAAAATGCTGTCGCCTAGGTGTGAATGCAGCCTAAAAGCACCTAGTGTTAGTACCTGCATTGGTCTGGGTCTCAGCCTCTTGTACTCCCCTTTATAGCAGAATGCAGACTAGAAGAGGGAGTGGCAGTAATTAAGGGGTCAGTCAGCAGTAATGCGGTGAATGAAACTGACAGTAGAAGAGAGCAAAACGACGACCTAATCAGCCTGCTGCTGCTCCTTTACCGTCCAATCGCAGAAATACAAACCCTTTAGCAGGCAAGAACGTTCCCATTCTAGGAGTTTATCTTTGTATTTACCTTCTTGCCTGGAGTTTAGCTTTAAAGTGTATCTGAAGTTAAATCCCATCTCGATAACATTACCAGGTTTACAGATGTAAGCATGCCTTTGCCTCAGCTCAAAACCTCCGTCATGCATGTTTTCTCCAGTGTTCTGAAAACATGTTTGTTTAGATGTCAGGATTAGTACCTCTCCTTCGCCCCCACATCCAAATCTTGCTGCCCTCACCTTCATACGCCCCTTCTTAGCCAATGACACCACAAAGATGCTTATTCACTCCCTTGTTATCGCTCGCCTTGACTATTGGTCTAACACTACACAGACTGCCCCCTTTAAGTCCATCATGAATGCTGATGCCAGACTCACCCACCATACCAACTGCTCAGTAGGTGCCACCCCTCTGTACCAACCCCTCAAAATACTGAAAGCAACAAAGCCATCCACAATTCTGCCCAGAGCTACATCACCAAACCCATCTCCAAACCGTCCTCCTCCCATGCTTGCCGCCAGGACTTCTCCAGAACCTCCAACTTCCTCTGGAACTCCTTACACCATCTCTCTGGCTGTCTCGTACACTGTACACCTTTAACCAATGCCTGGAAAACCTCTCTCTCCTGACTACCTAAAAACTGAACTTTTAGCTCATCGCTCACATTTATTACCTTTTGTATCATTTGCCCATTGGTGTTAGATTGTAAGCTCTCATGATCAGTGTCCTCCTAACCTACATGTATTGAATTTTTTTGTCACTGTACTGTCCCCCTTTATTTTGTACTGTGCTACACAAACTGTTGGTGCTATATAATTCCTGTATAACAATAATGATAGTAATTAGTACTGCTCCAACTTTACATCTGGGCTGCTCCAAGTGCTGCGGGTGTCATTCATCCCAGCTCTGGTTTTGAGTCTCTGCCAACCGCCCCCCTCCTTCTGGACAGCTACAAAAGACTGACGACATCCCGGAAAAAAAGAAAAGATTCTCATTCGTCAGCGGGGTCACATGACTGCCCTGGCCATTGCCAGCATTATGATGCCACACAGACTCCTGGGCTGTGTGCTGAAGTTTTTAAGTATGCGGCCCGTTACACTGGCTGGTGGTAGATAGTCATAACTAGTGATGTGCGGGGGATTGGTGTTTGCCCCCAGAGTTCACCCCTGCCCACTCAAATCTGCCGTTTACACCCCGCCCTCCTTCTGGCCAGTTGCAGTCGGGGCAAAGGGGCGGAGAATGGCCCTGCCGCAACTGGAGCAGCCCATGGCAACCAATCAGCTTCTCCCTTCAGTTTGTTCAGTTAGGATTTAAAAATGAAAGCTAGAAGCTGATTGGTTGCCGTGCTCAGCTGCCCTGGATTCTATCTTTTGATCAATCCCCCTCACAGACCAATCTACTGACCAATCCATACCAAGCCTAAACACCTCCTTTAAATATACAACAATGGGATCATAGGTATTCTATGTAGCTCTTGAATGAGTTCAGGTAAACACAGGTAATACCAGACAAGCCCCTTTACAAAGACACAGTCAAAGTATACACTTCAGTACTGGGTGCTGACGTCACAGGTAAACAATAAAACTTGAACTAAACGTATTTTGGTGATCGCGTCTTCCCATACACCCTCCAATCAACAAACCCGCCCCTGATAATGAGAAGTCATACCTGCCGCAGCTAGTGGTCCCAGAATCTACCATTCCACAAATCAAGCAGCAGATCCCCCCTAACTCTGGCTGCTGCAGATCTCCGGCCTCCTCCAGCGCAGATTATTACTTACAACATGGCGAGCTGACGTCTACAGCACACTGAAGCAACCTCGTGATTTGTCATTACCCGTGTCACTCATCCGATTTCAGCCGCTGATAGGAGAGGGGGCGGGACTTGTTAGACAAGACAGTCAGCCCCTTATTCCTTCCTGTAAACACGGGGGCGTGGCCGAAAAAATAACATGACGACGTATTATTGTACATGACGTCAGATCAGACAGCAGGCACGTAGGAATACCGTGATCATCAGACAGGCAGGGAGTTCATAGACGAGGGTGACAAGTGAGAGGATGTGGTAGCAGTAGTGCAGAACTGTGATTATTGCGGGGTTCTTGAGACCGTCCCTGACATTGAAAGGCTGTCCTTGATTTGCAGTATAACCTGCACAGAATTCTCTAATTCTGCCTATCATGTTCATATTTTATCATGTAGTTAGGATATCCAAAGCATCCTTTGCATGAAAAACGTGACCCATGTGTTATTTTGTTTTAGATCTCAGAACTGGCAGATGATTGGATGATCAAAACAGATCTCAGGAAAAAAATCTTAACCCTTGCAATAGGGCTACCCCCACACTGCAAGGGTTAAGTGCTTGCTTTTGTCTAAGTTCAAAATAACAAAGTTATACTTGCCCTAACCTTGGAGCCAGCCGACTGTGACAGCGCTCCCTCCAGCCTGTCTCCTCCTTCGCTGCAGCGATGGTATGTCTGGCGGCATCCTCACATCCAATACACTGTGTATAGAATGCAATGACTCAAGGATCCTTAGATCACTGCAGAGGAGGGGGAGCGAGGCGGAAAGGACCAGTCTAAAGGTGCCCATACACTGCACGATTCTCGTACGAAAATCGCGGGAAATCCCGTGATCGTACGAGAATCGTGCAGTGTATGGAAGGCGTGCGACCGTTTCTACTGTACGGTCGCACGTCTTCCGTCGAACCAGCAGGCTAGAAAACCCGCCGGGAATCTTACGATTCTCGGCAAGTTAGTGGCCTACTGGTTCGACAACTGCCGAACGGGCCGGTGTGCGCACGCAGCCCGTTTGCAGTCATCGTAAGCCCGCCCCTCAGGGGGCGGGCTTGCGATGATCGCAAGTACGATCTGCCTGTCCAAGATGGGCAGATCGTACGTTTTTTTAAGTACTTTACAACCCTCGCAAGACAAAAGTCTTGCGAGGGTTGTAAAGTGTATGGGCACCTTAAGAGCAAGCCGGCTCCGATCTGTTGGGTATAACTTAGACACAAACAAGCATTTAACCTTGCAGTGAGGCAAGCCTCACTGCAAGGGTGAAGATTTTTTTCCACCAGAGTTCTTTAAAGTTAGCATAGTGTGACCTAATTCACCGAGCTAAGTGATATGTCACTTTGCAAAAACTATTTTTCGCTTAGCTTAAAGCAGCCTTTCTCATCCACAGTGCTTTCTGGCTTCCTCAAGATGAGCATGATCCAGCCTTTCCATGGCGCTGGCAGGATGGCCACCAGCTACGTAGCCCCAAATGACGCTAACTCAGGGAGGGTGGGATCCAAACCTGCACCGCCTCTCACCCTCTGCCATGCTGTGATGGTAGGACTCTGATGTGAAGGGGGACCGAGGACTCTGATTTGAAGGGGGAAATCTGATGTGAAAAGGGCTCTGATGTGAAGGGAGGACTGAGGACTCTGATGTAAAGGGGGAACTGGTATGTGAAAGGGACTCTGAGGACTCTGATGTGAAGGGGGAACTTTGATGTGAAAGGGGCTCTGATGTGAAGGGAGCACTGAGGACTATGATGTGAAGGGGGAACTCTGATGTGAAAGGAGCTCTGATGTGAAGGGAGCACTGAGGACTATGATGTGAAGGGGGAACTCTTATGTGAAATGGGCTCTGATGTGATGGGGGGACTGAGGACTCTGATTTGAAGGGGGAAATCTGATGTGAAAGGGGCTCTGATGTGAAGGGAGGACTGAGAACTCTGATGTGAAGGGGGAACTGTGATGTGAAAGGGGCTCTGATGTGAAGGGAGCACTGAGGACTCTGATGTGAAGGGGGAACTCTGGTGTGAAGAGAGGACTCTGATTTGAAGGGGGAAATCTGATGTGAAAGGGGCTCTGATGTGAAGGGAGCACTGAGGACTCTGATGTGAAGGGGGAACTCTGATGTGAAGAGAGGACTCTGATGTGAAGGGGAGACTGAGGACTCTGATTTGAAGGGTGAAATTTGATGTGAAAGGGGCTCTGATGTGAAGGGAGGACTGAGGACTCTGATGTAAAGGTGGAACTCTGATGTGAAGGGAGGACTGAGGACTCTGATGTGAAAAGGGCTCTGGTGGTGGTGTTTTTTTCATGGAGTCTCCCCTTAAAAAGTATTACATTTTAGGCTGGGGTGCCTCATGATTTTGCATGCTTTTAAGGAGTGCGATGACTTGATAAACTTTGGCCTAAACTGTATTTCCACTTTTGCAGCCAAGATATGTTTGTTATGTGTTCCTGTTCACAAAGCTTACCTCAAAATAATTAGAAAACAACATTTTCTAACTTTCAGATATTTCTGTGTAGCGGGCCTACGGGCAGACCTCAAGCTAATGTGGACATTCTCAAAGTGAGAGGAAAATCACTGTATGCTGACCTGCCGCAATTAGATCTTCCTCCTTCTCCCTTCAGATCCTCAGTATACCTATAGGTGGAAGTGCAGCTCCTGCTAATCTTCCGTGCCCACTATGGCTGCAGCACTGAAGGTCTCCTAAACTTCAACCCTGCCGTTGGATCTCCATCCCCTGGGGCCATTCGCTTTCTGATTGTCCAGGAGGAGTAGGGGACAGATATGCATCTGCAGTGCGGAGCTATAAAAGACCTGCAGAGCTGTAGCCAGAGCGAGCACGGAAGTTCAGCGGAAGCTAGACATGCACCCGCAGGTATACTGAAGATTTGGGGGAGAAGGAAGATCCAATTATGGAAGATCAGTATAGAGCAAAGGGCCTCTACAACTTACTCAACTGCAGTAACTGTATTGTGGGCAGAGTTGGGTTTCTCTTTTTTGGTCTCACCAATTGGACTGGCATAGTAAATCCCTTATTGATTGTCCCAGCCAGGTGCAGCATGTGCTGGGTGAAAGTCTCTTCTGTGCAGCCTCTAAATAGGCTTTATGAGGCAATTCCCATTCTGGTGGTTTGGGGGAATTGACAAACTGAACCTTTAAACAATCTCTGTGATTTTGGCAGCTTTATCTCTTGTGGTAAGTCTTTGGAATGCACACCCTGTGTTTAGTTCCTGTGTACTGTCTCAGACTTATCCTACTGTGTGAAAGCTCTCCGACTCTGTGGCAGCGGCAGTGATATCATTTCCCTAGTCTTGAGCCACTGGGTGCACCCTATCTATTGGACGCCTTAGTTAAAATGGTGCTGGGACCGCTGGACATTATGGCGCATGTGTAGCCCAGGAGTAACATCATCGGGGGCCTCTCTGGATGCCGGTGAAATTGTGCATGCTCAGCAGGATGCAGACATAATTGGGTGGTGCCCCTTCCACCATCAATTTATGCTTCTGGTAAATCTTTGCACTTTAGTTTTATTCTCAGCATTTTGGTGCACTATTGCTATGCATTTTCTGCTGCTCATGTCCCTATTTCTTTGCATCCTTTGTAAATCCTGCTTTTCTGTCTGCCTGTCCTGCTGTCCTCTTTTTGCTATGGATAGTACCACCCAGTCAGACCACCAACTGTGTTGGTAAGGGATCAGGTAAGTAGTGAAGAGTTTATTTTTTTAAAGAGTATACTGTTGATATCTGTCATAACTTTTGATAGCCCTTCAAGAGTCAAAATAAGTTCACGGTCTCTTTGCTGTGCAGGTTCCAGAAATTAATGCAAAACCTCATTTTGCTACCGTCACTCCTGCAAAAGCTGTTCTTTGTCTCGGCACAGTACCTCAGCAAGATGCCATATGCACTTAGCGAATTGTTGGAAATGCAACAGCCTATGCTGATATGTACTGATTTGTATTACTGACATTCACAGATGTAATATTGTCTTTTAAACACTAGATGTTGCTGTGGTGCAAAGCTTGTCTATGCTACTCTGTATGCTAGTTTTTCTATATGCATGCTTCTATCTATGATCTATATGTTTCCTGCATGATGCTGTATACACAGATGTAATGTCCTCCTAAGCAAATAAAACTTAATCCAGCATTCCTCAAGATCAAGTGCTTTATCTAATCACATAACCAACATGAATAATAGATGCAGTGATAGAGAGAGCTCTACCAGAAATACTAGTATGCCTAGCATGACACAATGAAGTTGCAAAGGCAAAGGAATCACTATAATACAGAGGTTGCCAGAGTCAGTTATAAAGTCGATACAGGAGGTATCCACCATGCAACAAGAGATTGAAGGGTTAATTCAGGACAGCAGAAGCCACACAAGAAGCCATGTATCAACAACAGACTGGGCAAACTATACTCTTTAAAGAGTCAAAGGTTAATTCACTTGTAATTACTCTCCTAGTTGATGTTTTGCTGATGATGAGACTTGCGACGCATGCTATTCTGGCTATAGAAGAAGTTCTGACATTCAAAGGTGCTCTAGACCGCAAGAAGGCATACAGTATACAGGGGCAGGAGATGCTTGTAGGCCAGCAGTAACCATAGCAGCGGTTGGAAGAGCAATTACAAATTAGAAAAAAAGATTGAAAGAGTGCTAATAAAAGATGTAGCAGGGGATCAAATAATAATGTCTGCTAAAATTACCAGGCAACTTTGTGGCAGAAGGGTCAATAGATATCATTAGATGTTAAGCCAGAGTCATGCTAGCTTCCCTATGATGGTTTAAACCTCTTTGGAAGCAAAATAGAGTCTGCAATGATGAAAGTGACAGGAGGCCACTCTGGCCTGGTCCCAACACACAGGAACCAAAGACATCAGAGAAGATTGTCTGACAGGTGCCAGCTTCCAGATAGCTACA